TGATGTATCTCCAGAAGCATTTGTTGAGAAAGAGCCGGTCACAGTCGTGTGTTCCAAAAAAGGATGGATTCGCGCCTTGAAGGGGCATGTTCAAGACACAAGCGATATAAAACATCGCCAAGGAGATGAAGGACGTTTTTCAATTAACGCTTATACAACAGATAAGCTTTTAGTTATCTCTCCGAATGGTCGTGTTTATACATTAGGGGTCGACAAGCTTCCTGGAGGGCGCTCTCAGGGTGAACCTTTAGGGCTACTTTTGAATTGGGATCCGGGAGCTCCTCCACCTGTGGATATTGTCCCTCACAGAAGCCCAGATCAGCGCTGGATTATTGCCTCCAATATAGGTAGAGGATTTGTTATCCAGGAAAAAGAAATGGTTGCCCAAACACGTAATGGTCGTCAGGTTATGAACTTAAACGATTCTGAACAGGTTTTACGTTTTAGACCCCTTTCAGAAGGAGATGATCATGTTGCAGTTATTGGTGAGAATCGGAAGCTTTTACTCTTTCCATTAGATCAACTGCCAGAAATGTCTCGAGGGCGTGGCGTTTTACTACAACGCTATAGAGATGGCGGGCTGTCAGATATCAAAGCATTTAAGTTGGGAGAGGGGCTTACATGGCAGAGAGGGCCTCAAACACGATGTGAAAAAGACATTTTACCTTGGCTTGGAAATCGTGCACAAAGTGGACGCTTGCCTCCAAGCGGTTTTTCGCGTACCAATAAATTCACGGATTTTTAATGACATGGCATACAAGGGAAAGAATATGACACTTTTAAGCCTGACACAGAACAATACAAGAAGTTGGTTCTCTACGATGATATGGGCCCTGGTTGATAGCCTTCTTTTAACAACTTCTGCAAAGATTCAAGTTCCTTTAGGAATTGTAAAAATCAGCATGCAGAGCTTAACGGTCATTGGATTAGGAGCCATTTTAGGCCCTCAAATTGGCCTTGCTGCAGTCGTTGTCTATCTCATTGAAGGGGTAATGGGGTTTCCTGTTTTTCAAAGCTCTCCTGAGCGCGGCGTTGGCTTGCCTTATATGATGGGGCCAACAGGAGGATACCTTTTAGGATTTGCGATCAGCTCTTGGTTTTCTGGCTGGCTTGTTCAGTATAAAGGTTGGGGACAAACATTCGTTTCAGCGTTAGGCGTTATGTTTATAGGTCATGTTTTGATTCACACTCCTGGAATGCTCTGGCTTTCACAGCTTTTGGGATGGGATGTTACACTTGCGACGACATATACCTTTGTATTAGGAGCTTCTCTAAAGATTGCATTGGGAGCTTCTGCTTTGACTCTTTGGTTTGCTCGCTCTACTGCTTCTCATTAATTTTCTCTTTATTTTTCTAAGAGCTGGCTCTGTAGTGTATGAGGCTATGGAGACTCTTAATAAGCGCAGTTTACTTAGGAAACTGGCTAGATACTATGGGCTTACCGTGTAGAGGCTTATTGCTCTCTTTTGTTTTTTTTCGAGCGTGAAAGAGTTTTTTTATTTTTGCTTGTAGGCTTTTAAAATTTTATTTAATTTTTAAATGTCGACAGGTATGTTTTTCAAGCGTACAATAGAAAATGCAGGGAATGAATATTTTGCTCTTGTTTATGTTTATTTGCATTTAAAGTATTGGGGGTATAGTTTTATGTCAATGAGCGGTCATATTAAAGCGCTTCAAATGCGCCATGCTGCCTTAGAAGAAGAAATAAATCAAGAAGTTCATAGACCGTTACCTAATGTAGAAAAGATTACAAAACTTAAATGTAAGAAGTTGAAATTAAAGGAAGAACTTGTCAGTTTGAGTGCTTAAGGCAATAACTTGTTTGCACAGTATAAAAGGGGGGACAATTGTTCCCCCTTTTTTATATTTTTTTATTAGTGAATACATTTTTTTTACTTTGTAAGGGTGTTTTGCGTTTTTTGGCTAAAGTCCGTTCTCGGTAAAGAATAAAGAGTG